ATTGAATCTTCAGTTCCATGTAGTTCAAATATAAAAGACCAACAATGGTTAAGATTTAAAAAAAGAGACGAGACTTGGGACGAAACAAAGCCGAGACTTAGAGATCCTCTTTTGCTCCCTTTAATGACATCCTGCATTCTGTAACTTCCTGTCTGGTCGTGCATTCCCAGTCATGCACACGCCTGGACCCCGAGGAACAGAAACATGCATGTTAACACCCTGACAGTTTGCTGGGGGTAAATCGTTAGCAAGTCCCCCCCCCCAACAAAACTATTAAAGTGAGCATTACTCGACACCTTGCGTAACACCTCTTGCCAAAATCTAACTAAATTAAGCGACGACTGTACGCTCGTAAGCCCCCAATTTTGTATAGACTAATCCGATTAGACGCCATAACTGCGGTGGCAACCTACTCACACGCACATTCTTTAGCTTGACGCGCGCGTGCATAGGGCCTATGGCAAATCACGACACCCTGTTGGACGAAAGGGCATGTAACGCGCGCGCACCACCTGTCCACGAGCGTTGTGCCGCCGCTGTAATGGCTGCTAATTCTGGTGATCGAATTACACTATAGGCCTACATGGGCACGTAAGAGCGCATGCAGAGTGGCAGATTGTAATCGGATGGAGGCTTTTAAAGCAAAATCAGCACACACGAATACAATTACAGTCCGTATCACTCAGAGTTAGGATCACACCGGGCATTTCCACAACTAAAATAAGGTTAATTTGCTGTTCGGGTGTAGGCCTACACCTCTTGCTCTCATTATACACGGTATACGCGGCTCATACCATGGACAAATCTTCGCTGTTACCGCAGTCTAGCTAGTCCACACCCTCTTGATGAGAATTGTCGAAAAATAAAACACGTGGTGCTGTTTAGTTACAGATATATTTGTGTACCTTGCTTCTAGATGGAACTGAAATGGGGTTGAGCGGCCTGCAAACTAGCAAACAAGAGCAGTTTATCCACAAATAAAACTTCATCTTCCTTGACCGAAATACTCTCTCGTTTCACAGTAGAGACCCAATTTAATTGGCCTCTCAAAGAGCTCAGCTCAGGCGTGGTTCAATTTAGCAACGTTACAAAATGCCCATAAGAGTCCTTTGAAAATATATACGGATCTGAATCTGTACATTAATTTGTTGGAAGACGCTAAAATATTCCATCGACTACGTCACGAATTTCAAGCTTCATGCGGGAAACGCTTCAGCTTCACGCTAGTCTGATGACTGATGATGACGACCATCGCTCAAATTCTTAGCTTTCACACCCGTTATAAGTTCGGCCAATTGATGGAGGGCGAAACGCCATCGGCATCATGCTCAGCGCGTAGACAGACACCACGGTCTACAACGCTTCGATCACAGATGAGCAGAAACCGATAAGCGTCAATGATGCGCGAACGCCAACAGGCAGCTGAGCTGAGTGAACGACTCTGGCGGGGCAGACAAGTAAAGTTTCTGGTTTAGTGTCTATTTTCATCCTGGTTGTTGACAGTCGTCGTTAATGTTACCAGGGAGGAGAGGACTTCCAATAATCGACAGCCACGGAAAACGCCTGTTTTTTTGTAATTCCATAACCATCAGGGCCACGTGACCAGTTGTAACTGCGTTTCCGGCGATGACGTCAGCTAATTTAATGAACACGGTATCCATAGAATCCCGACTTTGTCCATAGCGATTATTACTTTCTTTAAAGGTACATTCAAAATTAAATTCAAAATGACATTAGTCTCTGTGTAGAGACAACCTACTCTGATTAGTGAGAAGTTACGAAACAAATTACAAAGGAAAGCACATCTATGCTGCTCGTGTTTTGTTACTGTTGAGTAAACCTTTCAACGTCGAGTCAAAAGGCAATGCGCAAAACCCATTACACTAGACAACGCTGGGTGATGTTGCCAAGACGGCCTTCGAAACGTGCAATAAACCATTTTCAACTTGATCTCAATATTTGGGCTCCCGTGCGTACCTTCTGTGTGTCTTCGACAGATATCAGACAGGAACGCCTCGTAACATGGCTAGAGCGTATCATGCACATCACGTCTGTAGGCTTCATGAATACTACGAAATTATGTAGCTAAACATCTGGGGAATAGCAAAAAGAGGTGCCTTGTAAATGCCATCACTTGCTCTCAGGTAAAAAGGTTATAGGTAGGCCATACCTCGTCAACTGCGGACAACAGAGCAAGTAATGCATAGATAACGTACATTTCCGAATTGAAAGAAAGCGCTTATCTGCAAAGATGTATAGCCAGCAGCAGCGTCCCAACCTGGGCAGTGAATTCGGCTACAGCTCGACTGGGCAACAGCAATATTACCTGTGGCACGGTCAGTTCAACCGTGCACTTTCTACAATGTATAGGGCCGTCATCTTGGGATGACGTCACCTGAGCTGTTATCCGCAAGTTGGAGGCTTAACACAGATCTAAGGCCAAAAAGAAACCGGGCTCAGTTACTCAATCGCACATAATCTGTCTTTATTTCTTACATACATACACATGTACATAAAATTAGGAATACACTGTGTCTTTTGTTATTTATGCAAATAGAATAAGGTATTAAATTTTGTGGGCAAGTCTGAACTTAAATATTGGCTACGTGAAATGTATACACAAACAACGCTGTACATGTAGTCTTGTGATTTCAAATGTTTTGTGTAAAGCCCGGTGCTAGTAAAATTGCAACTATCTGACGACTATGCCTAAAAAATCCCACCTGATCTAACTACATTAACAAGATGACGCAATACCGCTGGAGCTCGGCTTCCAGTAGTACCTGCTTACTCAAATGCTGAAATTGCCATACACGTCTGAGTTTCAGCAAGGGGTTTTGAAACTCTACGGTTACCACACGGACTGCACTTGCGTTTCGCATAGCATATTTTCCCCATTTTTAATTATAGGTTTTCCTGGTTGATTTTGCACTTCTTTCATTCAAAATTGCTTACACGAAAGTTTAATTTCGTCAAAGGAGGGTCACTCGCCCTACATGTTTATACCATTTTCCAAATTTATAACACCACTAGATTTCACTTTTAAAGTATTGTAATTCACGAAAAAAAAAGAAAGAAAAAAAAAAAAAAAAAAAAACACACACACAAGTGTGTATTTGCCTGCAACTGGGGACCCCCTATTGTTCCTCTTTTGTTTGTACTTCCCATCTGTTTTGTACACAGTTATCAATCGGGGACCCTCTGTCAATCGGGGACCTTATTGTCCTCTATTGTTCAGGGTCCCAATTGAATGCAGAAACAAACTCACACACACACACACACTTATTCGTCCTATTTATCGCCATTTTCGTCTCACTCCGGGAATGGCGTAGAATTGGAAAAGCAAATTCGTTTTTTTTTGTCATTCATTTTACCGAGTTAATCATTCAATTTCGTCAATGATACGAATTCGTATACAAAGCATTGGCCCTTAATCTAATTAACCAGAGAAAGTCAAATAACAGTGAGTTATGTAATTATTGTGCCTGATTTCTTCGGCCCATTCTTTCTTAGTCAATTTTGAATCACAACAAAAATGACGTCCAAATAACCGCTTATTCAAACCATCTTACCGGTACATTTTATGACGAAACTGAATGATTACATCAATAAAATAAATGACCAAAAAAAACCAATTTGTTTTTCCAATTTAATGTCATTCCAGGAGTGAGACGAAAATGACGATAAATAGGACGAATAATTTGTTTTCAGGAAATACAATGCTATGAAAGTTAAATGCAGTGGTGTTATTTCGAAATTTGAATCAACATTTAGGGCAAGTGACCCCTCTTTGACGAAATTAAACTTCCGTTTAAGCACGTTGAAATGAACAAAAGTGCTAAACTAGCCGGGAAAACCTATATTAACGTTTTATTTGTAATTTACTCGATTTATATTACATTCACCTGTGGCAAATGACACCAATAACATATTCTAATCAAGAGCACTATTCGACAGAACACAAACCCATAAACACATTGGCAATAGATTACCTTATTGAAGGATTGGAATTCGATCTCCATGCTCTACCCAATATTTACAGAAAATATCGAAACAAGCTTCGAATGGAATATGTCAATAAGTTAGAATAGTCGAAGTACACTTTACCAGTCACCTCTATTTACAATCTACAACCAAAGCGGGTAAACATGGACTCCAGCTACAAGAGTTCTAACAAATAAACCAACTTGTATGAAGAACTAGTACTCAAGAAACAAACAGATATCTTTTTACTTTTTGTGGAATAGTACAATAAAATATCAATAAAGTAATTAAACCTGACAGTGAAATTTACTAGCAGGTATTTCCCCTCATTTTTGGCAACGCACGAGGGGAGTCTACGGTTGCTGAGATCCTATACGCAAATAATCAAATACAGTAAGTCCATGTTGCAAAATAAATGAGGTAATTGAAATGTGGAAGTCCGCTGCAACCAGATGAGAGAAAACGAAACCAAAACGACCGAAAAAAAAATGAAATTGGAAAATTAGGTCATGACTTTACGTGTTCGTTGGATGAAAAAAAACAAAAACCAAAAACTGTTTTTCCCAGTGCAGAGTGCAGCTCGGACGTCATGAATATCGTCGAGAATGCGCGCGTCTGATATGAGATTACATTTATTCTGGGTGTGACACTGATAACATTTTTACGCGACACCTCTTTCCTCTACAGAATCACTGTGATTCTTTGACAAAAGATAGTTTAGTCAAGGTGATGAATAAAGACTATGTGCAAATCTCCAATATCGAACATATTTCAACTGAAGAAATAGTGCAGTCTACAGAATGGAATGAATCATTGCCAATCGGGAATTGGGAGTACATAGAAATGAATACACTAAACAGGACGATAATGTCCTCCCAACCCCATTACTTTAATTTCCGAGTCTAGCATCTCGTCACACTAGTCTTTTAACTCCCCGTTCCAGTTACTTCACTCAACACTGTGTATCCCTACACCCCATCTGGTCAACGGTCACCTGCGTCACAAACGGCCCGTGATCAATGACCAAGCGGCGCGCGGTAGATCCTCTTCCCTGCTCCCGCGTCTCGGTGCCGCGGAGGTGGTTGGAAGTTAGTCGCTGAGCGGTACAAAATAGAAGAACCCTGCAACAAGTTTGATTCCGTGTAACCCGAGCTAAAAGGTCAGTGCCGTGAGCTGCGATGTTACGTCCCGGGAGCTTCGTGCATCCGCGAGTTTTGACGGGGTTGGGGACATCCGATGCGCTTCATGTGAGGTGGTATGACATTTTCGGGATATGGTGTCCCGACTTGCGTTTGCATGCATTTTCTATGGTCCCGGAGGTCTACAGTTGGCTAGAGTAAACGGGAAGACAGCCCCTTGCTGTCTCGGTTGAAAAAAACAAAGCCAAGTGCTATGATAGTTTGAAGGTGGTGATGTGATGCCTATGATGACGACGATAGAAATTTGATCCTGAAATGTTGAACAGAGCAACATCTATTTTCTATTTTCTTTACAAACATTGCATGACTTGGTTGGGGAGAGTTGGCCTCCCATTGGGGAGAGGTTGAATATTTAGTTTTGATTTGATCTGCTCAAATGTAATTAACAACTTTTTTTTTGGAAGAAGCAAAATGACACGCCATGTTCAACGCTTAACATACAACGCAAAAATTATGTGTTCTTTGAGTCACAAAACTGAGCGGAAGTAAAATATGACATAATATTTTTTGATTTTTTTTCCAATCAGCAACTGGTAGTAAATAATTTCAGCTTTTCACAGTTTCCTCATAGCATCCTTTCAATTCCCCACAGAATGCATTCACGGTAAGGCAGAAAAGAAAACAACATTAAAATATACCGAATACTTTTGACAACATCAGATTAAAATTATTTGAATGTCTATTTTTAGTTGAGTGTATTTTCATCCAAACAGCACAGTGACGTCTTCAAAACTTTCGCTTTGCCAAGAGGTTTAACAAATAGTGCAATATGATTTGGACTTTTTTTATGAAGCACAAATTATGCCCCACCAGCAAAAAAGATTCCAAAAGTAAAGAACCACATTATAATGCACAGTACACAGTAGACATTCTTCCTTAAGAGAAGCAGCACTTTTTAAAGTTATACAAAACTATTTTGAGCATAAGATCTCAAATGCCAAGTCATAAAAAACTGACACAATATCTACTTCTATCGTCAAATATAACAGGAACTCCACGAGCTGTAATGGCTTTCCAGGAGTGGCTGAGCGCCTTTCAGTATTGCTTACAACTGCAGTGCACTCCTTTAATGGTGACAGGGCATCAGTTTATCTTTGGAATCTTTCTGTATACCCGTTCTCCAGCTGTGGATCAAGGTTTGTCAAGGAATGCACTGTGAAGTATATATACATGTCCATGCAAATTCTAGAGAATGTGTTCACTGTTGGTTTCAGGAATGCAAACAGTCTGGCAAATTGCACATCTTAACCGTGGTTCCTGCCTGCCACTGAGTGATTTCATTACATACAAGTCAACACAATAGCACGTCATGTTCATATCTTTCCCGTGTCACTGGGCTGGGTTTTCTACCTTGAAATGTGCTTGAGCAAGCTGGTAAAGTACCCAAACAGCGAGGTGGCACACTTGATAGCAATTTTGTTCTGCACCTGTAACCCAATCCAGAGTTCTAACAACCACGGTCTGAACTCTGTCATGAGAGTAAACTAACAGATACACCTTAAATATACTGTTGCCAATCCACTTGAAATTCATGACAAGCAATCTTTGTTTCCACTATGAAAAGGTTACCTTTTTCCCCCACAATGTTATGCTTTAGAGTGCTTTGACTTTGGCCCTCAGACTTGCCTCCCTGTAAAAAAATTTCACAATAAAAAATGCAAAAAGAAAGAAAAGAAAGGGTGAAAGAAATGAAAAAAGGGACGAAAAGGGAGGAAATCACACATTTGCTTGAAAATATCTCAGAATCCCAAATTCACCCCCTTCCAATGTTAATGGTTTTTTTCAGTTTGTTGCTGATAAGTGATTCTATTCCCCCCCGTAAAACCCATGCCCCCCAGGGGCAACCTATGATACACTGACTGCAAGAGAAACTTGACCGGTGGTTGCAATTTAAGACGTACAGTGGTCAGCCAAACTCTACTGAGAGTCTGGATTGCACAATTCATCATAGAACACCTCACGAGAACATCACGTACTGATCATCAAAGCCACTGAATACATCAATGGAAAGAAAACAATTTCTAGGAATGCATACCTCATGGATGAGCAAATTATTTTGCTTTTCTGACACTTAAAGCAATCTACACAGACAATCAATGAAAGCGCACCAATAAATTATTCTGAAATACAGGTATAAAAGGATTAACTCTTGTTTCTCACAGTGAGTTAGTGTGAGGAGAACATTTAACCAGATACTACGCATCTGTGATGAAGTATCTCGCGTTGTTGGCAGAACGAGTCGTGAGTGTAGTGCCAATGGGTAAAACCAATAGACACGAATGTGAAAAGAGGTGCGTTTGCATGGACTGTCGGTGCAGTTTACGGACTATAAATACTGATGAGTGAGTCAGGAGCGATCAGCATGTTCTCAACTCCTCCGGTTGCTCGCCTTCCTTTCGGCCAACCTCGTCCGGATTGGCCAGCGGGTCAAGGTCAGCAAAGAGGTTGAACCAGGCTGACATGTCGGGCTTGGCCCCCTTCTTGAAGGCCTGGGGCTTGCTGGAGTCTTGCTTGTTGGACGCGGTGCCGGCAGCTCCTGCTGCCTTGGCTGCGGCAGGGGGGCCTGAGGCAGGGCCCTGGGATGAGGGGGCTGGGGTGGCAGTGGTGGTGGTGGGTTCGATAAGGGGTGGTGGAGAAACAATTCCTGCGATGATGAGAAATATGCTGTGACTGTGTAGGGCACATTTTGAATGCTGCAAATCGTTGCAAGCCCACCCGATGGGCATTCCATTTGGGGGGGGGTTGTCTTACAGCTCACAGAGCAATAAAGGCTTAATTATAGGCAGCTGACAAAAATCAAATGTGAAGTAACATGGACAATGCTGAACTTCAACCATGCTGAAGGATGGTTATATCATGGAGGTCAGACCAACAATAGTACACATTCCAAAAATTCCTGATTACTGCCTGCAGCTTAACCAGACAAGTGGGGCCAGTAATATCGTTGCAATATTTGTAGTGTTTTCTTTGCAATTAACTAAAAGAATTAATATTTAACATTAGGTTTACTTTTGCCGTCGTGAATAATTTTTAAAAAGGATTTGGATGCACCTTCCCATTATCCATGCAATGTTTTTCATTTTGTCACTCCAAAACATCAGTTTTCAAAAGCCTTTGTACAAATTTGGCTCACACTGGCCAACAACATGTTGACCACCACAGGACAGTTCAGTTCATAACAAACAAAATGCGCTGTTCCATCACAGGGAGTGATCATGAAATCTCATAAAATACCTTTTGATGTAAATACCATAATAAAAATTATAAAAATAAAACACCATATCTTATAAACAAATTGGCTATTTTCTACCAAATTAAGTCCAGAAGAAAGCGTTCGATAGGGGCAATAACTGCACATGAACACTAAGGGCACACAGCCTAATACAACTGCGCAAGCATTAAATTTGGTATTGTTTTCAGATCATACCAAGCACCAACGATGGAATGAATATTCAACTTCCTATACTGCAGTACACAACGTCGTAAGGATGCAGATTACCAGCGACAAACTGCGGCGACGATCAAGGGGTACAAAACGGGCTTATGGACGTAAAACAGGTGGTGCGTAGCAAGCCTTCGCTGCGCTATGGCTATGGACATACCAGGCATGTCAGAAAGCAGTAATTGGCCAGGTGTTATAGTCCGGGCAGTTCAAACTCCTTCTGTGTCCTTCCTCCATGGTTATATATGATGTTATGAGGTTTGAATGTAAGTTGAAAATGTGATTGAATCTCAAGAAAAATTGGTGCTACTTCCTTCAGAAAGAAAAAAAAAACAAACAAAAAAACCAGAAACAACGCTTCATTTTGAACAAGCGTTGTTTCTAAAAACGTTTCACAATCTTTCACCCAAATTTTTGTTTCTTGACTGGAAATGGAGACAAAAGTATTGTGCTTCGGAAGAGGTGTTTAAATATGTACAGACAAAAACCCCTCAATAGAAACAGACAAAACCAGAAAAACACACCTTCACGCCAGCCTAAACTTTTATAAAAAATGAAACAAGCCACCCAGTCCCACCATTACAGTTTGGTAAATTCTTGAATTTTGTCCACTCACCTCCTGGAGCCCCCGTCTGATCTGTGACCCTGTCCCCGCTCAGAAGATCAGAGGGCAAAAAGCCACCGGACACCTGACCCCGGCCATTTTGGCTGTCGCCCGCCAGCATCAGTCCCTCGAAGTCAAAGTACTCTGACTGGTAGGACTGCAGGCTGGCCTCGTCCACGGGCAGGCCGCTGGGCGTATTGAGGATTTCGTTGAGCAGGGCCATCTCATCATGCTGTTTGGCGGTTGGAGGCGCCGACTCGGACAAGAGGTCAATGTGACCTGGGGACAAGAGTACAGAACATGGAGTATCTGTTTTTGCAATAAGACCGTTCATTTTTTCCCCATTATCTCTAACATAAGGACCCCTCCATCTGTTTGAAGACACAACCTGAAAAGGAAACAAATGATTATATTTCTTTATACAATCAACTATGACATTCCATTTTTCTGTAATGCAAACATGTACTTGCACACGGCCCATACAACCCCTCCTCCTAGTGTATGGCTTCTACAGTCATGAAAATAATGCATGACACAAAGTGATATCTACATTCTTGGCAAGTCCAGGTTCAGTAGGGAAAAATGTAAGTTTCAAGGCCTACTGAATGTAGAGTGGGCAACCTGTAAGCAATTTTGTTTGAGCATGTACCTTATTGCCTAATATGCATATACATGTTTATGCTTTCATTTCACTAGGCCTTGTACAAGTAGTTGCAGGTATCTGAAAGTACATGTATACAACATGCAATCAAGGAAATCAGAGGCGGGGGATTCAAAATGAATTAACAAGGTTTGAACTGGCTTTAACTTGTCTGGGGTTTTTATTCAGTATGCATCAATGACAGAGTTGACGGTGTCTCGCTTTACATGCCAATCTGGTGGCAACCTGGGAAGCCATTAGAAGTTCATTCACTGCTCATATGCATACATTATCAGAGCCTCTTTGGCCAACGGGGGCGGGGGGGGAAGGTGATCTCTCCAAATGCCATGCGTGCCTAAGTTTTAACCCCCTTGACGACGGGAACTTTTTTCTGAAAGCCGACTCTGAGAATTCCAGCCTCGCTTGGCCAC